CTGATGCTCGCTGGATTCAGGACACACTTTGGTCGGCGCAGGACGATGAGCAGCTGCGCGGCCGTATCTACAGACACCCGCAGCCCAAGCAGGTCGTCATCTACCGCCTGCTCGCCGACAACACCCCTGACATGTTCCTCAACCGCATCTCGGATGCGAAGTCCCAGATCCACAAGGCGTTCATTGGGTCGGCTGCTGAATTCCGTGAGTAGCGCATCCTTCAGCGAATGGGTATTTGACTTACTTGTTTACAACAGAGGAGATCTTCCAGCCGCGAGAAGACCATGAGGCAGACCAGGAGGCTCTCGAGGACGGGGACGAGGACGAGGAAGCGGTGGAACCTGGCCCGAGGCGGAAGAAGGCGACAGGCCAGGCGAAGGCGACGGCGAAGACGACGGCGAAGACGACGGCGAAGACGACGGCGAAGACGACGGCGAAGACGACGGCGAAGACGACGGCGAAGACGACGGCGAAGGCGAAACCGAAGGGCAAGGGGAAGGGCAAGGCGGTCCCTGCGTCGGACACTGAAATGAACGACCCGCAACCGCCAGAGGAGCCCCAGCCCCAGCCCCAGCCCCAGCCTGAGCCTGAGCCTGAGCCTGAGCAGCAGCCCGAGCAGCAGGACGAGCAGCAGGACGAGGTGCGGGAGCCTCAATCGACGAAGAGGCGGAAGCGGGACAGCAAAAAGTCACATACCGTCATCGACGACTCAGAGGATCCCGACGTCCCTGGTCCCTCCACTGGGCGACGTCGACCCCAGCCTACCGCTTCCGCCGTCCCGGGCCCCTCAAAGCCCCAGTCCCGTCCCCGTCCTCGCCCTGCGCCATCCTCGAAGCTCGCCACTCGCTCCATGACCAGGGCCGCGCTGCATACGGGCCGTGAGGAGCAGGATGTCGAGAGTGAGGATGAGGAGGACGAGGACGAGGTTGAGAGCGAGCGCGAGGTTCTCGAGGAGCCCTCTCCGAGGGCTGTAGGCCATGGCAAGAGCGCCATGTCCCCGAAGAAGGCACGCGACCGCGCGGTGAAGCCCAAGTCCAAGGCCTCGAAGAAGAGGTCCCCACCCACCTCTCCCATCGGATCGCCGTCGTCCCGTCCGAAGGCAAAGAAGACACGCGTTCCGCCCCAAGTGCACTTATTCGACGGCGGCGTAGGTCATGATGACCTGAGCCATGTGATATTCGGAGGCGATGACATGAGCGACCTCACGAGCTTTACACCCGAGGTGCAAAGCGAGATAGAGGACCAGGACCCTGACGCAGGCCGATTGCAAGATGTCGGGAGGACGCTCGAGAACATCAGCATAGGCGAGGACGTCGAGATGGGCAGCCACGACCAGGATGGGCTGTCACAGATCGTACCCTCCTCCCAGCCTGGTGAGTCTTCGCAGTCCCTCAACCCCTTCCGGCAATCTTCGAATCCGCGTGACTCCATTCCCGCACACGGTATACTCGGCGACCGACCCGCGCCAGCCTATCAAGCACCTGAAGCGGACTCGAGAAGACGGGCTTTGCGGACGTACGTTTCGAGGCACGCAGCGAGCCGCTCTGAAGGTGCTGCTGTCTCACTGGGAGGCCTTCGGATCCAGCCCGACCCTCGGCCCACTCGGGTGGAAGCAGCGTCGGCCAGAGCAGCTGGCGTCGCCACCGTACCTGTGGGAGATGACTCCGACCTCGCGTCGCCCAACGTCCTTCATGCCGCCAACTTCGCCAACCTTCGAGGGCGCCCGCCGAGTCAACCGCGACGAGGGAGAGGGAACTAATTGGAATGTACGTCCACTACTACACAAAAGTAAAGCCCAGTACTAATTGATTGAACCCCTCACTTCAGACTTGTCTTGGGCGTGCGTACCCGTCGGGCATCATACGCATCACTTGTATCATCACTAGACTTTGCACTTCTCAGATACACCGCCTCACTATATTATCAGCATTCTAATATCAGCAGTGTTATATACCGTCTTCATTACATTATAAGCAGTCTAATAGTCTAGTATCAGCAGCTGTACTATAGCATGTATAGCAATCAGAGCACTTCTATGCTATGCTCTCTAATAATATGATTGTATACAATGGCTTAGAAGTACGAGAATGAAAGACAATAGCATTCGAGTCATTGGATTCCTTTCAATGATTTGCACGTGCTTCCCTCTCAGCTCGCGGACTCTGTCCGCGAGCCGCTCTGGCGGCCAACGTGGGTCAGATACTTCACCAGTAGTTGTACGAATGCTGCGCGCTCGCGGACAGAGTCCGCGAGCTGGCAGGCCGAGGTGCCCAGTCTAGGCGCCCCATACGCAAGAGTCGCCTGAGCTACGCAGGCGGCGAGAGCATCTCGCGGACTCTCTCTGCGCTCGCGGACAGAGTCCGCGAGCGCACTGTGCCTCTTGCTTACTCGCGTTGTTGAGCCTCTTTGTCCGAGTCTTGGAGCTTAATGCAATGATATTGAGCATGCAGTATTTCCAAGGGTTAGAAGTACGACCTATGATCTAGGTACATATTACCCATCACTCCTCGCGTTGTGGCTTGTGCTCTACTCGTGTGTTAAACTCTATGTTTTCATTAGCACGTTAATAGACCATATTCAGTGTGGTAATAACTGCGGGGGGAGCTCCGAAGTAGGGGAAATTTGATGGATTTAAGCGACCCCATTGGCCCCACGCTGTGGTAATTACCACAGCGAATATGCTCCAATAACAAAACTACTACAGCAGAGAGAGCTCCCCGAGGACTGGCTAAATGGATGCCTGAGGTCGTGACATGCAAAAGTCGTCACAATTGGCCAGTCCTCGCGGAGCTTTCTGTTCTGCAGTAGTTTTGTTAATAACGCGCTAATAGCAAAGATAGAATTCAACAAACGAGTAGAGCACAAGCGAGAATGCAAGGTGGGTACAGGTATCAACCAGTTGCTCGTGCAGCTTTAGCTATACCTGCACCTTCAGACTATCTCAAGATGTTCAAACAACATAGGTCTTTGATATTGCCAAACAGATCATTCTTGGTAGTTTCAGCAACACTAAGTAAAGCACGGCTATGCCTTGGAGGCGATATTAGGTAAGCCACGGGGCGGCTACTGAGTGCAGAAAATCACAAACTTCTCTATTGTTTTGCCGATTGCTGCAAAGCTCTGCTGTCAAGCATGTATCACATGAGCCCGGGAAGAAGTCCAGTCTTATGTCCACCTGTCCTTTATACAGCTGTAGTTACCTCAACCATGTAACAACTTCAATATTTCTTGCGAGGATGTCCACACCACCGACCATCTGTTGTTACTGGTATGTTCAGTGCATCATCAGACTTCATGCACTCAGTGCATGCCCAGGTACAGTATAGTACAGTCTGATGACGCAGTGACGGAGGAGCTCTCGCAACTGCAATTCATCTCCATTGGTGCGGAACAAAATCTGTCAAATACAAGAGTGATTATAGTGTGGCATTTTCAAGTACTATGGAGAAGCAATAGGTACTGAAAGAGCTTCACTTGAAATACCATCAAGACTTCATGCAATGCAAATCCCACATGGGATCTACAGTGGCGCGTCTCCTGACTCCGTGAGAATATCTACAAAGATACTACTTGTATGTGTTAATAAGACCATTGAGTTGCATAAGCCAAAAAGGCACAGGAAGTGGACAAAAATGATGAATGGAATTGGCTGTGTCATGTCATCTTCCTATAACTGTATTTATCTTAAATACAAAAGTAACATTGTCTCCATGAGTTCAGTTACAGCGTGTTGCAAAACAATGCGGAATATTGAGACTTGTGATATATGAATAGAAATGGTAGTCGCCACATGCAACACCACCAAGACACC